TATGAATTATGCACTACACCTCTGGGTTCATACTTGCCAAGAGATAACGTAGTCCTATCAAAATACTGCTGTCCCGCAACAAGCACATTCAATATACGAAGCTTTCAAATCCGATTCCCCATTATGCTATTCTGCCCTATTTCTAACACTCGCGTTCGTGGACACCATAATTTTTGTCCACTGTCTCTGGTATACGAGAAGTCACCCATTCCTAATCATCACGCCCAGATCTTGAAGTATTGAATCATGCCCATTTATGAGCGCAAGAGTCGATTTAGAACTTCTCGGAATAGTCAGGATAGAGAGCTGGGACAATGGATACAAGAGTTGCCGCTGAGAGAAAGAGGAATTGCTGTTGCAGTTGTATTAGAGCTGAGAAAAATCGATTGTAATACTATTGTCAGATCGCCCATCGGTCCCGAAAATCGACTCGTCATTATCATTGTCTTTTAAGCTTACAAATTCATCACGAAAAATTATGCTCACGCGTCACTGGAACCTACGGGTCGCCCAATTACCGTAATATTGAGCAGCTTATGCATACACCTGACAAATGGTTCTTGCTGATTTTATTTCAAGTGAATTACAAACTGTTTGCTTTCCAATGATGGATCGTATTGCGGCATTGCATGAATTGGGAGCAATCTAGGTTCACCGAAAATAACTCGACTTTTTATGGATTCCAAAACTCCTCCACGTCATAAACCTGAGAGCTAATCTGTCGTTCCGAACTTTCCGTAATAGCTTTCCAGAGTTCCAGAAGAAAGAGCGGTTGACCACACGTTAAGATCAAGAAAGCGAAGAGTTTAAGAACGCCTCCAATACTATTTCGCAATTCCTCGGCCGAACGAACTTGAAAAACCGCGCAAGGCCATAGGAAAACTTGAACGATTATCAGGTCTTCTCCAGCTGATGAGAATGTAAAGCAAGTGCTCGTCGACAGTTGCCTGGGAGAAGACAAATTTGTCTTCGAGAATAAGAGATGACGAGAAGAATTTCGCTTCAATTTGGAGCTCGCCTTGCGTGCCACCGCCTGAACCTTCACCCAATTCTGAGAATACGCCGTTCTCAAATATTCCATCATCATTTTGTTTAACAAAACCAACAATGTCAAGGGTATAGGATCCAAGATTTTCGTCGGCCAAGAATCGAATCCAAAATTTCCAGAGTAATCTTCTCATTCAGACTATAAAATGAACTTCTCCCCACACCGGATTTCTAGTAGAACAAGCAACTACTGTGATAGCAACTTCTTTAGCAAAACCATCGATAATACGGACATAGAGATCTGTTGTTGTAAGGAAACTGCTGCTCTTTGAAAGTTTCTTTGCACGATTAATCTTAGTCTGATAATCCCGATTATAAAACCCGATTCGGTTTCTGTTTCGCGTGCCAACTTCTTACGGTCTGGTCATCTTGACTTTACTATTTATCATTTTCAATAGCTTCTTCGACTTCATATCTCTTGATGACAAGTTGCCGTGTTGCCTCGGGCACTTCTGCTTCGACCGCAGCGTCATTGATTTGAGCAGACAACCACTTGTACGACTTTTTGTATGACTGAGTCCATTCTGAACCGGTTTCACTTTGATATGACGGTGACGGTACGTCGAGCGATAATTAATTGTCTGTTGAGTCGTAGTGACAACCATACGTTTGTTTGTGTTCCACTGATCGAATTTGAAGTGTTCGATCACGAAGCGATTAGAGGCAATGTATAGACATTCTTCGATGTCTACATCATTGATATCCGTTCTTCCGTCTTTGCACAGCTTCCAATCCACTCATTATTATGTTTCCATAATAAGATTCTCAAGAATGAAGTCTTGTCGAGTAACTTGAGTTGTTCGTCGTTGGAAATTCGAGCTGTAAATGCAGAGATAAG